CCGTGTCGGGCTCTCGCCAGCGTGCGAAGAGTTGGCCGAGGGTGCACATGATGATGCTTACGCTGTGCATGCTCCGAGGCGGGGATTTATCCATAACTCCGAGGAGCCCGCCATGCTCGTCGGGGTGTGACAGCGCTCGACGGGCGGGATGGCGCTCCTTGAGCGCCAGGATGGCACCAGATAGGGGGACCCCTGGGCGTTTGTGCTGGTGGACCTCGCGAAATTCCTGCTGCCGAGGGTGCACATGATGATGCTTAAGTTGTGCATGCCAGAGGTCGGATCTAAGCTCCGAGGCGGGGATTTATCCACAACCACCGCCTGGGGGGTCGACCTTCTGGGACCTCGGCAGGCGGTGGATCTGACTATGCTCGTGCCCCAGGGGGAAGCCAAGTATTTCCATGTTCATCGCGCTCCGATGTTCAGGGAGGCTTGTTTCCCAGGCGGTGGATATGGATGAACTCTCCCCTCGCGTAAGCTGAGTGCATCGACTGCCGTGTTCAGTTTAGATCTTGCGTCCGTCGCGCTATCACCAATTCGTCGTAGTGGTCAGTGGTCAGCTCCGTACGCGACCCCAAACCCAGGCACATTCCACACCAGAGCGGCTCACTTTGGACAGCATTTCTTGATGTGGGGCGCGAGCCAGATGAGCGACATAAAACAACAAGCGTGGCCAACAACCGGGACGTTTCCGCGCGCTGTGCCTTGCCGGTGGCCTGCGCGAGCGGCCACGCAGCGTCGCCATGTCCTCCCGCGTGAGGCATCTTCTCCTCAGTCGCTCAAGCAGGGGTCCTGCAGTCAAGATGCTGACATCAGGGCTACTGGGCCCAGAAGCAGGAGCGCTCTGGTGCCGCCCCTCAGAGCCGAGGCTCGCCGTGGCCAGGTAACTCTTTCGATCCTCACTCGGCGTTCCCTGGCGCAGCACGATGTGTGCAGGAACTCCGCGCCCGAAGTGCGTCCTGCCCCGAAGAGAGCCCGAACGGCCCGTACGGCCCCGAGTGCTGGAGACGCCGAGCACGCCTCCTCTCTACAGTGGGCACGCCCGATATGAAACTGGCCTGCCAGCGGGTGACCTCCCCCCCCCAGATTTGTTGATTCCCTGGGGCGCCTTACGGGATTCAGAGTCGACGAAGGATGTGCACATGCATGTCTGTATCGTGTCGTATCGTATCGCACGTGCTTTGCTTGCTTGTGGTATGTGCCGGCTGTGCTGAGCACGCGCGCGCGGGGCATTCTCGGCCGCGTCGTTTGCGACGGCCGAGACCAAATCCGCAGAAGGCACCAATACTAGGACGAGGCACGGATGTCGATACCGCTACCTCTCCCTCGTCGCTACGGCTGGATTGGCCTCGAAATTCTTGACGCTCCGCGTGTCCCCACCAGCAGCTCCCCCTCAGCTGCAGTGCCGGCAGCCGCCCCTGAGTGCTGGCCCGGCCGTCTCGCTCGAGGCGCGGTAGTTAATCAGGCAGGACCGTGCCCCGGACCTCCCCTTCGGCGACAGCGTTACCGCGTCGGCCCGCGAGGAAAAAATGTGTCCCCACCGGCCCATCCAGAAGCAAATGCCAGGGGAGTCGCCAGAATGAGGGCAGCGTAGAAGCATGCAGTGGAAGAGGGCCGCCGTGGAAGCGTAGCAACGGGCGCAGACGCGGTGGGAACGTGTGCTGCATCATGCAGCACTTATTCAGGAGGGGGCAAAACACACAGACACAATTAATCGTCGATTTCTCAGAAAATATGGGAAAATATGGGAAGTGGGGGGAAGACAAAAACCCAGAAAATATGGGAAAATATGGGGAATATTTTTATTTGTGTGTATTTATTTGTGTGTCCTAATTTCCCTTTATAGGGGCGCAGACGCGGTGGGAACGTGTGCTGAATCATGCAGCACCTATGCCTCTGTTGCCCTGGCTCTGTTTTTTGTCGATAACCTCATGGAATTATTTTGCGTCGCCCTACGGCTCAAAACATGCTCGGGCACCTGATCTGTGCTGCTCTCGGGACCGGTACGGGCAATTGCAAGGCGAGCTGCCCCAATCAAGGATTCGTAGAACACCTCCTTTTTTGAGCATTGGGGCTCGAGGCTCCATAACCAGCAAAGGAGGGGTCCCCTCTCTCTTTGCAGGGTCCTTGCAGGGTCTTTCCAGGGGGGGCGGGGGCCCCGCAAAGACCTTGCAAAAGACCCTGCAATGGTGGGTGACCTGGAGGCCCCCTTGGGGCGATCTTGCGCCTCATCACTCGAAAAGGCGGGGGTCGGAAATTCAGCCCCCCCCCCTCGGAGGCTCAAAAAGGGGGTCTTGGGGCCCTCTTGGGGCGCTTTTGGGCGCTCTCTTGGGGCCCTCGTGGGGCTCTCTTGGGCCGTCTTGGGGCCCTCTCGAGGTTTTCCATCGGAAGCGAAAAGACGAAACAGCAGCACATAGTGATGTTGGATAGGTGCTTGGAGGATTGTGGCTTCTGGGAGGCTTCCCTGGGCGGCTCGGGGGGCCCTCGGAACCGTCTTGGGGTTGTCTTAGGGCCCCTCGGAGGTATGTCGGAGGCTACTCCAGATTTCGTAATAAAGGGAGGGGGGTCTCATTTCGGGGGGGGTCTCTTCCAGGCTATCTTGGAGGGCCTGGGGGGGTCTGGGGACGATGTTTTGGAGGGTTCTCCCACAGGGGGAGGTCTGAAGTGGCCAGTCTTGGAGGGTCCAGACCCCCTCCCTTTTATTACGAAATCTGGAGCATCTTGAGCCATCTTGGAGGCCATCTTGGGGTCTCTGAAGCCCTCTCAGAGTCATCTTGGGCGCTCTGACCGCTCGCCCCCCTCCCAGGCCCAGGGGAGGGGTTACTGAGGAGGGGTGAACCCCCTCCCCTGAACAGGGAAAGGAGGGAGCTTTGGCAGAGAGAGAAGACAACACTCAGTAAACCATCTACGCCCAGAGGGCTGGTGGTATTCTGGGCCACCATGTTTTGTCAGGGCCATCCGGGACCCCGAGATACTTTGTTGGCCGCCATTGCCGAGGCCAGGAAGGTCTATACAAATCTCTTGGGGGTCAGGATGGCGCGGTGGTGGTTTACAGATGATATCTGCGGGCTGAGACTGCTGTGGCCCTGTTCTTGGCAATGTTCGGCACACGATTGCCGTCATCATCGTGCACGCTTCCAGGCACACAGACACTGGTCGGGCACGCTCTTGAGCACGCTCTCGGGCGCATGTTCACCGCTTGTTCGCAGGTGCGTGCAGGAAAGACACATCAACCTCGGGAGCACAGAGCAGGCGCTGGGGGCGCCTTCCTTCTGTCCTCCTCTTCCCTCCTCCTTTCCTCCTCGTTCTTCCTCCTCGGCAGATCGGACAAGAGATCAGCCTGCCAGCGGTTGCCCCGCGGCAGTTCCAATCCCCCGATGACCCCCGAGGACCCGAAGGAGCCATGGGGCACCCTAAGATCTGGGAGGCACGTGCTCCCACACCTCTCGGGGCAAGACCTCTTGCCGCACGTACCCGCTGCCCCTCCCCGCCCCAGGCACCCACCCTCCCCCCGCCACCGGCAGGTTTCTCCCGGCCCTTCCTTCCCCCCGCCCCTGGTTGGTTTCTCCCGTTCCTTGCTTCCCCGTTCCTTCCTTCCCTCCCCGTTCCTTCCTCCCCCCCCCAAACAAAACATCCTTGGCAGTGTTCTCCCGGGGCCCTCCGGAGGCCTCCAGCTGCCCGGCGAGGGCCAGCAGCTGCCGCACCCCTCCCTGCCCCAGGCACCCGCCCCTCCCCGCACCTTCCCTCCCTCCTCCTCCCCCTCTTCCTCCCTCCTCCTCCTCCTCCTCCTCCTCCTCCTGCTCCTCCTCCTCCTCCTCCTCCTCCTCCTCACCCTCCTCCTCACCCTCCGCCTCCTCCTCCCTCCTCCCCCTCTCCTTCCCTCCCTCCCTCCCTCCCTCCCTCCCTTCCTCCCCCCCCTGCGGGCGCATCGGCTCGCAGCAGTTGGGAGGCCTGGCCAGGGAGTGCAAACTCCCGACTAAGACAGGCCGTGGACACCTTGACCGAACAGCCAGAGGCCCCACGCCCAAAGCTCTCACGCCCAAGAGGCCGAGAAGGAGGCTCGGTCTTCGTCGATTTTGCTCCGCTTCGCGGTAGATCTGAGTCTCTGAGCCCCCGGGCAGGCCTGTCCCGACCCGAGGCCTCTGGAGGCCGTCGGGGCCTCTCGTGCGGCTCGGCCGTGGGTGGATGCCCTGCGCGGTTGCTTGGCGGGTCTGGGTGGCCTCCCCCCCCCTCCCCTGCACGACCTCCGCCCTAAGTTCTCAGCAAGGCTGAGAAGGAGGCTCGGTCTTAGTTGATTTTGATCCGCTTCGCGGTAGATCTGAATCCGTGGGTCCGTGGGTGGCCTTCCCCCCCCCCTGCACGACCTCTGTGCGGGGTCAAAAGGTCCGAGGAGGGTCCGGGGCCTCCGGAGGCCTCCAGATGCCCGACGAAGGGCCACGATCCTTCGGGGACCGCCTCCCTCGACCCTCCGGGGGCCTGGAGGCCCCGGGAGGCCCGAGACGGGGCCAAGGAGACTCAGGGGAGGAAGAGGCACTGATGCTGCTATCCTCCCCCCGTTTCCCCCCTTTTGGGCCTCCTGGGTGGCCCTCGTCGCCACCGCTGGATTCGCCTCGAACTCTTGGTCAGAACGCACCTCGGGAGAGGTCCGGGAGGTAGCGGTGTGGACCCTCTTGGTTTCCCCGGAGACGTCCGAAGACCTCCCGCCTCCAACCTCCAGGGTCCAGGGGTCTGTGAGGGTCACTAGAGCTCTGGAGGCCGTGCAAGGGAACTTGCCGTGTGAGCTTGCCAGGGCCAAAATGAAGTCGGGCCTGTCCTTCTACAGGAGGATTCAAAAATAGTTAAACATAGTCTGGGGACGATGTCTCTACCATTTTGGGCTATTTTCTATTATTTTTATTTTTTCATTTTTCGCCCAAGATCCCCCTGTAGGGGGACGCGCCCGACCTGAAGCCAAAACGCCCTGTGGGCCAGAGGTGTCCCAGGCTTGGCGCCTCCGCCCGCAGGGGGTCGCCCACCTCGACCTGCGGGTGGCCCTCGGCGCCGGCGCTTCCGAGCTGCTCGCCGCGCTGGAGCTCAACGCCAGCAGGCCCGGAGACCGCCGCGCACCGCCCTCCTCCTCCTCCTCCTCCTCCCCCTCCTCCTCCTCCTCCTCCTCCTCCTCCTCCTCCTCTTCCTCCTCCTCCTCCTCCTCCTCCTCCTCCTCCTCCTCCTCCTCCTCCTCCTCCTCCTCCCCCTCCTCTTCCTCCTCCTCCTCCTCCTCCTCCTCCTCCTCCTCCTCCTCCTCCTCCTCCTCGGAGCGTGGCGGCGACGGCGGCCCCCACGGCCTCCCGAGCACCCTCCACGAGGCCTCGAGGGCCCCATGGGCTCCAAGACGTTCTGGCGGACGGTGGCGGCGACGACGGCCCCCCCGGCCTCCCGAGCACCCCCCACGGGGCCTCGAGGGCCCCGGGGGCTCCAAGACGGAGCGCACAGCCAGGGGCACCATGGGCCAGGGGCACCTTGAGCCTCAAGTCGGGCCCGTCCCCCTACAGGAGGAGCATTCACAAGTAAATAGTCAACAAACAGTCCCGTCATTGGAGAGACGGTAGAGGGAAACAATTACTGAACACTCCCCTCTCCCCCCAAACTGAACGTTGGCACGCGCGCGGGAGACTGCGGTCGAAGTGCATCTCATCAGACCCACCGCCAACTTTGAACATTGGGGGGAGGGGGAGGCGTTGACGGATGAAATCGGCATGTGTTCGCTAATTTGTTCCGAGGCCTGGATGTCTCTACGGCTTCGGCCACGGGAGGCTCGTTCGTGCTGCCCCGGGGCCCGCAGGTGACAGCCCCGGGCCCGAGCTCGAGGCGAGCGGCGGGGTCGAGGGCTCGGCGCCGAGCGCTGCGCAGCGCGGCGGTCCGCTCACGACGTCGGAGGTTTAGATCTTCACCAGCCTGAAGCTTACCAGCCTCGAACGTATCCCTATCCCGAAGAGCGACACGCCAAAAGAGGCGACGACAATCTCTAAGATCGGCATCGTGATGAGGAGATGCCCAGCATAGGGATAGGGATATGCTCCAGGCTGGTAAGAAACATCTCCCCATCCCGATGTTTGGCGTCACCTTATCCGGTGCCGATCTCGAGGTCCCCCTGAATTTCTGAGGCCACACCCCTGAGATTGTCATCGCTCTTGGCCGGCCAATCCTAGGGATTGGGGTAAGTTCTAGTCTGGTTATTTGTGGGGTCGCCCGCCGTCGTACCATGCGCGACGCCCTGCGGCGTGGCACTGCTCGCCCTCTCTTGGTGTGGAGGACGCCGCCGTGGAAGCCCCGCTCGTGGCTTGGAAGGGGAGGCCCGCGGTCGGAGAAGGACAAGTTACCGATGCCGCTGCAGTCGGGGCCCTGAAGAAGGAACCTTTTTGGTTGGGGAGGGGCTCCGCGTTCCTGAAGTGTTTCGCAGCTTGCCTCAGGCTTTCCTGCTATTTTTTCGGCAGGAGATCGAAGGTTCACTTTCTGGAAAACAGGGGCCTCGTTCCTTATGTTGGGCTCCTTAGGCCAAGGCCCCGACTGTACTCTCCCCTTGCTTTCATTCTTCGGGGCCTCCTGGGAAAAAAAGGAAAAAAATCCTGGGAGGCTTCCCTCGCCACCGCGGGCTTCGCCTCGCGGCGTCCTGGGCAGCACGCGCCCCGGGAGAGGTCCTGTGGGCGCAGCGGCAGCGTACTTGTTGGGCTTCCCCCTCGCGGAGGGATCGCGGGTGTCGTGCGCGGCCTCCTCGCTACCGAAGCAGATGCTGCCACGAGCGTTGGGCTCAAAGGACACAGAAGACTTGGATGCCACCTGGCCCGCCACGCGTCGGCGTGACACGCTACTCCAGATTTCGTAATAAAAGGGAGGGGGTCTGGACCCTCCAAGACAAGCCTTTTCAGACCTCCCCCGTGGGAGAACCCTCCAAAACATCGTCCCCAGACCCCCCCAGGCCCTCCAAGATAGCCTGGAAGAGACCCCCCCCGAAATGAGACCCCCCTCCCTTTTATTACGAAATCTGGAGTAACCACGTCCCAGTCCCTGAGCGTCAACTGTCCGAGCTTTCCCCACCTTCCGCCCCGCGGAGCGGAGCGACACGCTAATCCGCTTGCGAGGCATTGCGTGTCGCCGGGGCCGTCGCCGCGACAAGCTAAGCAAACTCTCTTTCGGCAGTTATACACGATCGGAGGGGGCGGCACCCCCATCTCGGGGGCCCCCGAGATCTCTAGGGCCTACCCCGAGAAGGGAAAACGCAGGCGCTTTCGGGCGCCTCTGTTGAGCCCCGAGAGTCTTCCCACGTCCCCGATGCCGCGATGCTTCGTTCAAGACATGCTCGACCGGTTCCTCGGGACCCGAGCTTCGTCCTGAGCAGGCTTTTCGTTTGCCCAGAGCTCTGGGATGGCGCTCGGACCCTCCTGGACTCGGCGAGGCACGATGCCATGAGCCAGAACGGCTGTGACCGTGGTGGTGGTATATCAGGAGGGGAGAAACACACAGACACAATTAATCGTCGATTCCAAAGAAAATATGGGAAAACATGCGAATTGGGCGGGAAGACAAAAACCCAGAAAATGTAAAGAAATATGGGGAATCTTTTTATTTGTGTGTATCTATTTGTGTGTCCCAGGGCCCCTTCAGTATATCGAGGTGGCCTCCCGTCGGCGGCGCGCCGAGGGGGGCAGCGAGAGGGGCATGCCTCCGCAGCAGGCGGCGGGGCTTCCAAGCAGCCCTCCCGCCTCCCGAGCAGCCCTCTGTGGCCTCGGAGAGGGCCCAGTGAGCTTCTCAGCAGGCCGGAGGCCTTCTGAGCCTTCTGCTCGGCATCGCTCGGACGTGTGCATTTTTCCTTCGGCGAGGACCATCGAGGAGCATCCTTGATCATTTGGCGAAAAAACCACGCACGAAACCGAACAAAAGCACAGGGAATGGACGCCCGAGCGATGGCCAGTCTGAGTTCATGGGGCAGCCGTTTCATCTCACCCGGGCGCAGGCTCTCGCAAGGGCAGCGTCGCGGCTGCAAGCAGCACGGAGTCGCCGGCAGCAGGCGGCGTTGAAACGTACACTCCAGCCGTGCCGCCGCGATTGTGCTGCTCAGCAGGGTACTCCAGATTTCGTGATAAAAGGGAGGGGGTCTGGATCCTCCAAGACAAGCCATTTCAGACCCCCCCCTGTGGAAAAACCCTCCCAAACATCGTCCCCAGACCCCCCCAGGCCCTCCAAGATAGCCTGGAACAGACCCCCCCCCGAAATGAGACCCCCCTCCCTTTATTACGAAATCTGGAGTATCTTGAACAAGATTGCGCTCTATCGTTTGCCAGGTGCGCCGACGACATACAGTGGAGACCCGCGCCGAGAGACACCCTGCTTGCCTCCAGGGTGCCCTGGGTTTCTTGGGTTTCAGTGGTTTTGCTACGGAAAGCGCGCCGGTCCCGCGCCCAAAACCCGTGGACGTCCTGGGGCCTCAGGGCTGGGCCTCTTGTGGACGGTTTCTTGTGGGCTGGCCTCCACACTACGACGTCGACGTCTTTGCTCCGCAGGTGGTTCAAAATGCCTGCGAGGGGCCCAGGCATGTGCAGGGGACGATTTTTTGGGGTTTCGCCGGGGACCGAGGAGGGTCCATGGCAGAGGAGGCAGGGGCCGAGGAGCATCAAAAAGACGCCCGCGCCGCGGGAAGGGCCAGGAGGCTCGAGCATCGAGCTGCATCGAGTCAGATGGGATTGAGGAACATCGCGAGGAGAAAGGAACTTCCTCCCCCTCCCCACCCTGGCGCCACGCCGGCGCACGGCTCGAGGAGTTGGCGAGGATGCACCCTTCGCAGAGGCCTGGGCACAGGCTCCGACCAGACTCGACGACCGTCGTCGCCTCCATGGGCCTCGACGACCGTCGTCGCCTCCATGGGCCTCGAGGTCCCTGGGCGCGCCGCCGCTCCTGGGCCTCGCGTGCCGCCCGTGCTGCCGCCGCGGCCGCCGCATGGGGTCCCCCCGCGGGCTCTCCCGCGGCCACCGCCCCGGCCGAGGCCCACCGGCGAGCTCGCCGTGCGCCTCGAGCTCTCCCGCTCTGGCCGCGGCCCCGGCCGTCCGGTGCGCGAGCGCCCGGCCTGCTCCGGGCCGTCGTCGCCGCCGCCGCCGCCGTCCTCGCCGCCGCCGCCGACGCCCAGGGGGGGGAAAAGGTACCCCCTCTGCTACCCTTGTCTCGTTTCCCCCTTTTTGGGCCTCCTGGGAGGCCCTCGTCGCCGCCGCTGGATTCGCCTCGAGATTCTGGTCAGAACGCACCCCTGGAGAGGGCCGGGGAGTGGCGATATCGGTACCTTTTGGCTTCCCCAGGCGCCGCCGTCGTCGTCGTTGCCGCCGTCGTCGCCGCAGCCGCGTGGGTTTGTTCAGTCGCTTGGTCTTGCTACGTCAGCAGCGCACGGCATCCGTCCGCAACCGGTGCCGATCGTTCCCCCCAGCAGCTTTCATCCCATGCTCGTGCATCAGCCAGCTACCGATGCACACGTCATCATATACACGGGCCGCATGCAATCTTCGCAGTGTTGTTGCGCATCGTTCCAGCGCTTGCCTACGAGCCAGCCTCTGGCATAAGGGTTGCCAAACTACGCCTCTAGAAAAGGCAAGCAGTGCGCGGCGCGTTGTGCCAATCGCCGCGAAATCGTGTCCACAGTGCCCTCCCCATCCGTATGCTCGGCTCACCCAACCAACACAGCACCGATTCCCATCTCCTCGCGGACGCGCTTCTTGTGACGAGTGCGACCCTCTCTCTCGTGCGTTTCCTGGCGGCCTGGCGAGGGTTGCAGAAGCCAGGAGGGAAACAAGCACACAGACACAATTCATCGTCGATTCCCCACAAAATATAGGAAACCATGGGAAGCGAGGGGAAGACAGAAGCCCAGAAAACATGGGGACATATGGGGAATCCTGTTATTTGTGTGTCCCAGGGCCCCTTCGAGACTGCGCTGCCCGCGTCGCCACGTGCCTTGCGCGTCCCCCTGTCCTCAAGAGCGAGAAACCTATCTTGGCATCGCTCGGACGTGTGCATTTTTCCTTCGGCGAGGACAATCGAGGAGCATCCTCGATCATTTGGTCAAGCAAAACCGCGCACGAAACCGAACAAAAACACAGGGAATGGACGTCCGAGCGATGGCGAGCTATAGGTCACCCGCGGCGGCGCGGAGACAGTCGGGCCTCGCGCGCAGAGCGCCGGGGCGGGTGCCTCTCTCCAAGGCCGGGGCGCAAGGGCACGAGCAGAATGGCGCGTCGCGCATCGCGGGGTGCGGTGCGCCAAGCTGGGTGACCTGGGAAGCTGTCGGAGGGCACCAACTATACACTCTAGGCGATGCTTAAGAAAACCCAAGTTTTCGGCCAGAGTCTCGATTATTCTTAATGTTTCAATGTAAATCCTAAGATTTTGATAGAAATGTTGGGCTTTTATTCAAGTTCTGAGACTATGAATTTCTTAACCCATGATTTCTTGAGCATTTCGCAGGGTGTACACCAACACCGATCCTGGCCCAGGATCACCCTGGGCCCAGGATCGGTGTGTATGCCTTCTTGCGCAAGGCAGGAGGGGCGTAGACACCGATCCTGGGCCCAGGGTGATCCTGGCCAGGATCGGTGTTGGTGTATAGTTGGTGCCTTCCTGAGCTGGTGCGCAAGGTTCTGATGTTCCAACCGACTTCAGCCTCGACCACCAAAAAGAAGTTCGAGCTCCCAGGAAGTACCGAACCTTTGATTTTTTTTCGTGTCGGGTCCTGGGAGGCGACGCTGTTTCGACACTGTTTCGACACCTTTTCGACACTTTTCTGGGTGCTCGAAATTATTTCTTGCATGTGGCCCTTAGGTACGATAGGAGCAACACAAGCGTACGGGTGCGCGTCGTGCGCATGTGTCGCGGCGCCCTTCGCCAAGGCGACCCGCTGCTGCTCCTGGAGGGCAGCGGCTCCGCGGAGGGCAGCACCATCGACGACTTCTCCGCGAACGTGTCAGGAGGGCGGCGGGGTAAAGCTTGGCGATCAGCGCCCCAGTGGAGCCAGGGTGCCGACACCGCCACCCTTTCCTCGTCTCCACGCACCCTGAAGATGACCATGGAGTAGCGGACTGGGGATTCGTTTCCCCAATACCACTGCTGGTGCCCACACCTGTGAGCGCCACGGGGGCGGGGCATGGGTCCGCAGCTCGGCCTCCACAGGCCAGGTGTTTATATACACGCCCTTCCTCTGATGCTTCGTGGTGGTGGGTTGTGGTCAGGGGTATTGATGACTCGCCGATCGCCCAGGAGACCGGATGTCGCATATTGCGCCACTTCCAGTTGTAATGCTGCCCAACTGTCGAGATGAGTTCGCACAAGGATGCGCACACCTTCAGATGCCCTGCCGTTCACTGTCGGCAACGCGGGCACAACGAACATTTGCCAACCGCGATTCGCCATCTTCTTCATTAGTTCCCCATGCCTGGAAGAGAGTAACCGATGCTCCTGATGTGCCCACGACGATGCTCTGAGAGCAGGGGTGGGTGGGAGAGGGGGGTGCGGGTCTCAAGGGGAAAAGGGGGGCAGAGTTGCAGGGACGGCGTGCACACGGGTGTTGGGCAGAGGTGGGTTGGCACAGGCAAGGCAAGGCAAGGCAGTGTTTTTGTTGGCACCTGCCATCCCGCATGGTTGTCGGTTCATCGGCTTCAGCAACGTTCGACGCATGCTGCGAACGTCGTTAACGCTGCGATCAACCACGACGCAGCGTCTGAGGCAGCTTCGAGACCGGGCTCGTCCTCCCTGGGTTCTGCGGACTTCATATCGACCGAGCCTTTTGGCGGTCTCTTCTCTTTGTCCCCCCCTCCACCGCTCAAGGGGGTCCAGTAAGGAGTTATCTAGCCGCATTGAGAGAACCATCTCGTACGTCGGACTCAACGTTCAAACTCAACGTTGTCCAAGCACGTTTCAAGACATAGATGTGTCTGTGCTGGTAGTCTGTACATGTGTTAGTTTGGTGTCGATGCGTGTTCCTCTATGCGTTCACGCATCGTTTTTGTTCAGGAAGCGGACCCGTCTATTGTACCCGGCTGAAGTATCGCCCGCAGCTCGAAGCTTGAAGGAGGGACGAGGGATGGACAAGGACGGGGAGGGCGGGGGCGGGTGAGCAGGAGAGGCGAGGAGTGGAGGGAGGGGAGGAAGAGGGAGGGAGGAGCGAGGGGTTCGGGATCTGTGTGCTCTTTCGTGCCCTCCTCCCATCTCCCGTTTCTTCCCTCCCTCCCCCTCTCCCCCCCTCTCGTGGTTGAGGCTGCTGCTGCTGCTCGGCCTCGGGCCGGCCCATCCTGCGCTGCGATGGGAGGAGCCCCGACCCCGCAGCGAGGGACCCCCGCATCCGCTTTTTTTCGATCCGCGGCCCCAGCGGCCGGCGAACCCTTCCCCTGGACGACTTTTCTGCCCCCGATCCCTCATCTTACAGTCGGGGCCTTGAGGAAGGAACCATTTTCGTTGGGGAGGGGCTCCGTGTTCCTTGATTGTTTCGCAGCTTGCCTCAGGTTTTCCTTAGGTTTCCGATACGAGATCGAGGTTCAACTCAGGGAACATGGGGGCCTCGTTCCTTATTTGGGGTTCCTAAGGTCAACGCCTCGACTGTATGCCCACGGGGGCACGATGACGCCCGCCCCCCCCCCCAGAGGCCGCCCATCGAAGAGAAGCCGCCGCTTCAAGACTCGGAGCGTCGAAGACCTGGGGCAGGGAAGCCCTCTTTGCTCCCCTCACGGGCCCAACCCCGGCTGGCCCGATGCGGTTCGCCTCCCGTCTTCGGCGGCCCGTTGCGGCCCGCTGCTCGCACGGCGCTGTTGTGCACCCTGGCGCGTTAGCCCTCCTCCTCCTCCTCCTCCTCCTCCTCCTCCTCCTGCTCCTTCTCTTTCCCTTCCTCCTCCTCCTCCTCTCCTCCTCCTCCCCCTCCTTCTCCTCCTGCTCCTTCTCCTTTTCCTCCTCCTCCTGCTCCTCCTCCTCCTCCTCCTCCTCCTCCTCCTCCTGCTCCTTCTCCTTTCCTCCTCCTCCCTCCTCCTCCTCCTCCTCCTCCTCCTCCTCCTCCTCCTCTCTTCCTCCTCGAATGAGATTTATTTATGTCTTGACGGAGAAAAGGACCGTGGCGTGGCCGATCTGATCCGATTCCAGCTTCCTGCCGATGTGGACCTTTCCGACGTACATTTGTTTGATTCGATCGGAGTTTCCGACTCGATGCTGGCTGCTCTCTGCTCCCTCCCCCTGGGCGCGGCACGGTGCCAGGCCACCTCCGCGTCGGCCACGGCGCGCCGGAGAATGCCACGGGCTGGGGGCCGGCCTCGCCCGAGGCGGCAGGCGTGGGCGCGCAGACCACCACGACGGCCGGCAGCCCGTGCCTCGGCTGGTCGCGGTCGAGCTTCGGGGGTCGAGGGTTGAACTGCTAGGGGGCCGCATGCGAACCCTACCCCTACCCCCCACGACTTCTGGGGGGGAGGGTGGGGTTCACTTCGCTCGGGAGCTCCCGAACGAAGTGACCCCTCCCCCCCTCAGAAATCGTGGGGGGTAGGGGTACGGTCGGGGCCCTGAAGAAGGAGCCCTTTTCGTTGGGGAGGGGCTCCGTGTTCCTTGATTGTTTCGCAGCTTGCCTTAGATGTTCCTTAGGTTTTCGATACGAGATCGAAGTTTAACTTATGGAAAATAGGGGCCTCGTTCCTTATTTAGGGTTCCTTAGGTCAACGCCTCGACTGTAGGGTTCGCATGCGGCCCCCGAATTTCGAGGGTCGGAGGTCGAGGGTCGAACGCACGGCGTCGGCGGCAGCGGCCGGTACCGGCGCGCCGACCACTGCGGCGGACGGCAGCCCTTGCCTCGGCTGGTCTGCTGGTCTGAGGTGAGCAGGGGGAGCAGGAGCAGGAGCAGGAGCCGGAGCAGCAGCAGCAGGAGCAGGAGCAGCAGGAGCAGCCGCAGCAGGAGGAGCAGCAGGCCAGGAGGAGGATGCGATGCAGCCTCGATCCTCCAGCAGAAGGGGTGCTCCAAACGCGGGCGGCGCACCGCGGCGAAGCGCCGCACGGCGGCGTGTCGCGGCGGGGCGCCCAGGGCGGGAGCCCGGGGCCGCCCTTTGGTGGTGTGGTAATACAGGAGAGGAGAAAACACACAGACACAATTAATTCTCGATGTCCCAAAAAATATGGGAAAATATGGGAAGTGGGGGGGAAGACAGAAACCCAGAAAATATTGGAAAATATGGGGAATCTGTTTATTTGTGTGTATTTATTTGTGTGTCCTGGGGCCCCTTCAGTAATGACAGTGATGCGGCCCACGATGTCCAAGGTTTCCCAGACGTCATCTTGTTCCGCACGGGCTCCAGGAGCGAGGGTCGCTAGGCACTCGGCGTCGATCCCCGGGGGGGAAAGGGAGAAGGAGCAGGCCTCCTCAGAGGGCCGCGGGGCTTCTCGGAAGTCCTGGCGCCTTCCGAGAGGCTTGCTGTGTCTTCGGGGCGGGCTTAGGAAACTCTTTGGAAGGTCCGAGGCCTTCCGAACCTTCTTGGAAGCCCGCCCCTTGCCACTCCCCCCCAGGCTCGCAGCCGAGATGCGTTCAACGATCTCCAAGATTTCTCAGATGTCATGTTGTTCCGCACGGGCTCCAGTAGCGAGGGCCGCCAGACACCCCGGGACTCCTGGCAACTCCGGGACTCCGGGAGTCCTGGCACGCACCCTGCGGCAACCGTATCATGACATCGTTCTCGTCCTGCTTGGCACCGCTCGGGCGTGTGCAATTTTTCCTTCGGCGAGGACCAGCGAGGAGCATCCTTGACCATTTGGCGAAAAAAACACGCACGAGACCGAAGGCGGCCTGCCCCGCCGATGCGTCTGAGGGTGCGACAGGGGGTAGTTATTTGCTTGGAAACAGGGATCGAGGAGGAGGAGGAGGAGGAGGAGGAGGAGGAGGAGGAGTAAAAGGAGGAGGAGTAAAAGGAGGAGGAGGAGGTGTAGGAGGAGCGATGGCCAGAGCGATGGCCAGCCTGCGGTCGTGGTCGAGATCTCTTCGGGGGGGGAGCGGGTCGCCGAGCGCTTCGAGGTTTCGGGGGGGTCGAGGGTCGGTTTTTTTCCTTCCAGGGTCGAGCCGCGGGGGGGTCCTCCTCTCCCTCCTCCTCCTCCTCCTCCTCCTCCTCCTCCTCCTCCTCCTCCTCCTTCTCTCCCTCTCCTCCCCTCTCCTCCTCCTCCTCCTCCTCCTCCTCCTCCTCCTCCTCCTCTTCCCCCTCCTCCTCCTCCTCCTCCTCCTCCTCCTCCTCCTCCTCCTCCTCCTCCTCCTCCTCCCATTGCACCTCGGGGCCTCCCCGAGAGGCCTCCCGCGCTCGATCATCAGCCGAGCGCCTTGCATGTATCGCCTTGTGCTTCCAGACATGATCGATGTCGCAGCATGATCGCCAAGCCTTGCAAGATCCACAGGCGGGCGCCCAGAGCAGGGTCTCGATGTGTACACGCTTTGCCGATTCGAATCTGTCATCTTCAGCACGCCAGTCTACATCTACACCTCGACAGCTGCGCTGCCGGCCAGATACCGAATCGATGCCCCTTCTTCCACCTCCCAATGTGACATCGTTCTCTCCCGTTTCCCCCGAGTGCGCCACTGCGTTGCTGCCTGCGTGTTGGGGGGCGCGGCCCTCCATGCGCCGCCACCAGCCAGGCTCTCCACGACCGAGGCGCCTGAGGACTTCCAGGCGCCGCGGGGCAGCAGCGCAGCCGAGGGAAACAATATATATATATATATATATATATATGTATATATATACATATATATATACATGTATATATATATATATATATGTATATATATATATACATATATGTATATGTATATATATATATACATATATACATATATGTGTGTGTGTGTGTCGCCGCGCCGTTTGTGCCGACGCGCGGCCTTGGCCAGGCCACCAGGGCAAACTCCGCCTCGGACGCAGGTTTGGCCGTGGGCTTGCCGGGGTGCCGGCTTCGTCGCTTCGGGCGCGGTCAGAGCAGTCGGCGCGGCGACAGATGCGCGGTCAGGGGACAGCACGTGAGAACTGTTCCGACGTTGATGTTGGGATGCGGATCGCATGCATCCAGTACACTTCGCGGCCCTGGGGTCTGGCGCGAGAAGTGCTCGAACAAAACTCCGAGCTGTTTTTGCACAAGCGGCTGAAACGTCTAATGCGGTCAAGAATTTGTCCTTCCCAGTCGCAGGTGCAGTCAATGCCCGTTCGAGCGCCAGAGCAGAGTCAAGGAGTACAGTTCGGGTATTTTTGCAGTGGGGGGCGGTCGGAAAAGGGCTTAAAAGAGGCCCTGAAGAGGCCCGGCAGAGCCCCGAAGGTGTACGCAAGGTGCGCCTTCCTCCCTCCTCCTTGAAGTATTGTTCTCTATAACAAAGCAGCGCCCGAACAATGCCAAGGAGAGCAACAAGAACGGACCATTATCCAGATCACCCTGGGGAGTGTTTTTTTGTTCCTTGGCGGAAACGGGCGTGACCGGGGCTCCACCGCCCCCTCACTCCTCCCGGCTCACTCTTTTATTGTTCTGTCTTTGTGTGAAGCAATTGACACTGCAGAACGACGAGACGAGAAAACATAGGAGGAGGAGGAGGAGGAGGAGGAGGAGGAGGAGGAGGAGGAGGAGGAGGAGGAGGAGGACGAGGAGGAGGAGTAGGAGGCCCGTAGCAATTTTGGCTCAAGGCCAAGCGGAGAACGGTAAAGTATTACAGCTGGCTCTGACTAGCTTTTGCCCATCCGTCGTCTCTCTCTCGAGCGGGGATTGGGTACACCAGCGACCGATCCTGTCGTGACCTTGCTTCGGCCTCGACAAATTTCGATGTTTTGTTCTCGAGACGCCATTTCGGCCCGACGTTCCTCCCTCGATCGCTCAGCCTGGGATGCCATCAAAAGGCGCCGATTGTCCCAGTGCGTGCCAGCACTCCCCGCGGGCTCGCGACGGGCCTACCGCTGCCAAGAAAGGTACGCCTTGGGCTCTTGGCGGCGGGCCACATTCGCCACCACGCAAAACAACTCGGTCCAAGTTGCCACGTGGCAGGGGGCCAGGCGAAGCTGCTGACCCGTCGCAGCCCGCTCAAAGTGGTGCTCGCCGTGCTGTTGATGGTCAACGTTCTGCTGACACTCTGCAAGACTTCGCATACGTGTGGGCTGTCTCAGTTCGCGCGGGAGGGGCACCTGGTCAAGGCTCCGCTGGCAGCCAGGACCCCTCCCTGGAAATCCTCCTTGCAGCCTTCAAGAAGGACCTCGTGGACACGGTGGGTGTCAAGCTCGATGGCGCTAAGAAGGCGTTGGTTTCCCAGGTCAATGATTACACGGGCACGCTAAGCAAAACCGTGGCCTCCCAGCAGGAGAAGGTCAACACACAGGTGCATGGCGAGCTACTGGAGCTACGGATGAGGCAGTCTGCATTTGAAGCTCAGCAAGTGGAGACGCGCACGCAGATGGAGCAGCTGCGACGCAAGATGAACATCGATGAACTGACGGTGCCCATCAAGGATTACGGCAGCTTGCCGGAGCGGGGTCGGGACCCAGATGGTGCGTGCGATCTTGGTGGCCACGACTACGGCCAACGCGGAGCTCGAAAGGTCAAGGTGCAGCTCGCTGTCTGGCTGCAGAACGTTGGTCTCTCAGAACATCAGTGGTCTCTTCAATGTGCGGCGCCTGGCAGGCGCTTCGCGATGCAGATGTCGGGCGACACCAACGCGGCGGTGCGCAAGGTCAAGTTGGCAAAGCGCTCCCCCAAGCTGGCGGGAGGCCCGTGGCGCTCGCTTGACGTGGACACGATCGAGGGTGGCTCGTCCAGGATCGTCGTGGGCGTCGACAGGGCGGCTTGCATGGTCAGGCATGAGATTCAGTCCAAACTCTTCGCCAACATCGCGAGAGAGCTCTACTCGAACAAACGCAACAGTCATGACGAGACGAATGGCGTCATCTACATGGAGGACCTTCCACTCGCCCAGCTCGAGATTGGCTCCGAGAAGGATCAGCTGACGAAGCTTCTTTGGAATCCTCATCGGTTCGTGATCACGGCATGGACAGGGACAGTCTGCTGGCTCGTTCCAATGCAATCTCTCACGCCTCTGATGAGCTTGGGCGGCCGATTTAACATGGCAGTGCAACCGTGGTTGGAAGACATCCAGTACCTGTCGGGCCAGTGCACGCCGTACTTCACGACATGGAGCACGCGTGGTCTTCTTCGTCAATTTGCCCTCGACACGTGAAATCAAGTGTGCTCGGGTGGCTGCTCTTATCTCTCATCATGCAGCAATTGCGTTGCAACAAGCGCATGGTACGGCTGAGGAGCTCGATCAACAGGTCTACCTCTCGCACAAACAAGTGGTGCCGTTCTGTATTATTCCCCGCCATGGTGCTGGTGGTATCTCAATCCTCTCCGCTGGGTTCTCACGGCAAGAGGCGCATGGTGCCGTGGAGGCTTGCCGCGTCTCCTACGAGGCCATATTTTTGCCAGGATATGTTCAGCGGTTACAGATCAAGGCCAGGGCGACCGCCTCGAGATCGCATGGCACGGCGCTGTACAACGTTCGCAACTTCAACCTCGATACCGATGTGAATGATCGGCTGCTGGCGCGGATCTCGACCGAGGCGGCGGTCTCGTCGGCCAACCCCGCGCGCTCTGCCGTCGCGGTGCTGGGCGACTTCAACTACCATGAGCAGTTGGCCATGTTTCTCGATGTCCCTGAGGTGGACAAAGGGCTGCTCTCTGTCCCGAGGGCTCGGGAGCGCGCGCAAAAGTGGGCTGGAGCAGCGCGTGACTTGGCGGAGATGGACCCTGAGATGCCGATTCGCTACGTTGCGGAGAAGTGGCGCCCCACCCAGCTTGGCCACGTCTTGGTCGGCGCCCCTGGCTGGCTCTTGCTCTAGTGGAACTTCGCGCTGACAGTGCCGGACAGGCCCGAGGATCTCAACAAGCGCGGGATCTTGGAACGCGTGCCCGCGAGGGCGACACTTGGAGCCCGCTCTCTAAAACTGTGCATGTAGCAGCCCCCCCCCCCCGCGTCGCTATCCTGCGTTCGCCCACTGCGTTGCTCTGCTTCTGCGTTTCTCGCGAATCTAAACGTTTGCTTCGATGGGCCGATCGCGCGGCCAGAAACTTGTAGATTTGCGCTCGGGCCCCTGAGCCTGAAACGAAGTTGTTGTTTTGTTTCGTTCGGACTCTAGGGCGGCCCGCCTAAGCGACGTGACCCCCGCCTCTCGACCGCGCGCCTTTGCTCCTGCCGCCGGCGCCCACCTCCAGTTGCTGCCGGGGGGGCGGCGTCGCTGGGGTCTGCGGCTGCGTTGCGTCGGGGGTGCGGTGCCCTCCAGCGGCAGCTCCTGGGTCGGGGGTCGGTGGCAGCTGAGTCGGCGCCTCCTGCCTTCTTTGGGGAAGCAGCGCCTGGAGCGCGCGTGAGAGGGGAGCGTAGGAGAGGCAAGTTGCGGGCGCCTTCGAGACGCGCTCTTCCCGGGCAGGCTTTGCAGGGCCCTCGGGGAAATTGCGACGCGAAGTCCATTCTGACAGCAACAAGAAGTCCGACAAGGGAGCTCGCGTTGAATATCTAGCCCGCTGGCTCCTGAATTTATGTACGCCTGTCGTTGAATGTGGACAAGTTTGGACATCCAGATGCAAATCTACTTCGAGCGCCTTCCTATTTCAAGAACCGATATGCTTTGGCTACGTGTCGCTCTTCTCTGAGAGAGACTAAATCCAATCTACTTTGTCCGCCTTCCTACAGTCAAAAGCCCTAGTAAGGACGCGCGACTTTGCTCAGGGTGCCCTTGCGTCCTTGCTCTTCCTTGCTCTTGCTTCCTTGAGGTGTTCGTCGTCCGCCGCCCCAGAAATCCCAACTTCGGCTTCCAAGGGTCCTGCGTCCTTACCGCGCGTCCTTATTAGGGTTTTTGACTGTACTTCATGTTTCTACCTTTTTCTTCCGTTCGACGTGTAGGAAGTGCTTCCCCCCCCCCCGCATTGCAGCTGTCGGCGCCCAGAGAGGCGCCGAGGCGCCCCCCGGAGGCGCCCCCCGGCCGCCGGCGCGCGGGCACCCGCCAGGCGCGCCGACGTGGGAGGCTGATCTGAGCCGGGGGCATGCGCGCGGGACGGGAAAATGACCACAGCCATTGGTTCTTGTTTGCGCCGCTTTCCAGCCGGCCGAAAAAGAAGCAGCGGTTGTGGTCATTTCCCTGGTGCCAAGTTCAACGAAAATGACCACAACCACGCCCCGGCGTGAAAACGACCACAGCCACTGCTTTTCTTTTGTTGCCGCCTTCCAGCCCGCAGAAACAAAGCATTGGTTGTGGTCATTTTCGTTGAGCTTGGCACCAGGGAAATGACCACAACCACTGCTTCTTTTTCGGCCGGCTGGAAGGCGGCACAAACAAGAAGCAGTGGCTGTGGTCATTTTCCCGTCCCGCATACACGCTGGTCGTTGAAAGTGGTTACAAAAAAATCGATTCCCAATCCACTTTAGGCGCCTTCCTACCTCAAGGATCGAGCGGTTCCACGTGTTCCTTCCTCTTCTCTGGACGCCCGAAATGAGTACGGAAAAATGCGTACAATGCCGAACAGCGGTTCCTGTTCATTTTGAACAGGACTCGCTGTCCGCGCAGCCGCGGCTTGTGTCCATTCGGGACAGAAGGCCGCCTGCCCAACAGCGGCCGCTGTTGGTTTGGGACAACATTTGTTGTTGGGCATTGTACCCATTCTTTCCGTACCCATTTCGGGCGTCCAAATTTTTGATTTTCGGATCCCAATCCACCTTAGGCGCCTTCCTACCTCAAGGATCGAGTGGTTCCACGTGTTCCTTCCTCTTCGGGGGGCGGGCGGAGGGCCGCGCGGCCTTGCAGCGTGGGCGGCCTGTTCAGGTGCGGGTGTGGGCTGACCGCGTGTCTCCCCAGGAAGAGTCTGCCAAGGAGTCCTCCGTGCTCAGTGCCGTAGCTTGTGCCGTCGGGGACATCGCAGCCAGATTCTGATATCGCAGGGTCTTGTCACCCGACTGCCTCGGCTTTCGATGCCCTTGACAGCACTCGTTCTGCCGTTGTTTGGAGAGAAGCAGGTGCTAAGGGAAACTGCGCCGTATGCAATCAACACTGCTGCGCTAATTCGATCTCGCTGTGACGGTCTGGCCCCGGAAACGAATTGTCTGGGGACATCGAGGACGAATGCGTGAAGGTGATCACAAGGTCATCCCCAGAAGTCGAAGATGTCGAGTATGCGGATTTATGTAATTCTGCCCTGGGTCTTGCAGGGACTGGTTCGCCAACGTTGACGAGACAGGAACAGATGTCTGCCAGCACAGTTGCTCCTCGTCTAGATCATAGTTGACAAGTTTCGAGGGCCCGAGGGAACGTAAGTGACGGCACACCGTGAAGCGTGGCCTGTGAATATAGTGTCGAAGTATCGGCTGGAGGACTACGATGTCAGTCCTGGCAGCAGGGCGCCGTTGTGGCACGGGTTTCCAGCGGATGTATGTCCAGATCTTGAACCAAGCTGAAACTGGAGCAGCCGGTCTCCCCAGTGAACATCAGCGCACGGAACGCTTTGAATACTATTGCAGGGCTGTGTGGTAGCGGCAGACATGGTCAGCCACAGGATCGGGAACGCTGCCGTAACGTAGCATGTCGCTAACATCTCCATGCGTTATGTTTTCACGATCTTGGAACATAAAACTGTAAGTGATTTCGATGAAAGTGGTCCGCTTATTACGGACGGCCCAGTTGGTATCGAATGAAAGTCGAAGGAAACCTTGACATCGTTCTTCATCAAATAATCGTTGCGACGGCACTGCGAAAACTGTTCTCGACTGCCCTGTGCGCCAGATGTATCAGGATTTGCGTACTGGTGGACCTCATATGCTAGATGGCCTTAGCATTCGGGTCTGTACGATTCAGTTGGCAAGGTTGGCGTACACCGCACCCGCGCACGGTTGGCTAGTTCATGATGCAGGCAAGACCTGCTCTCAATATTTACGATTGCAGCGATGCCGTCCAGTCAACATTGTTTCCCAGTCCGAGATCCACCACTGCTTTTTCGGCAGCCGAGCCAGGAAACCAGAAATTAGAATTCAGCCAATGCAATCGAAGGGGGCGTTGTGACTTTCGCTTCCTGTCCCCAATCTTGTTGCTGGTTGGTCGAGAAGATCGGTGCGGAAGGTGAGGAGGAGGAGGAGGAAGGATAATAGATTGGGGTAGGATGATCAGAAGAAGGAGGGTGAGGCCGAATATGAGGAGGATGAGGATGAGTCAGATATTGAGGTCCCCCTTGTTCTGCCCCTCCATTCCCCCTGCCTGCTTTCCTCGCCACAGGGCTCCTCTTGCGCTTGTGAGGAGAAGTGTGAGGAGAAGTGCTGCGATGCGTACCTGGACATATTTTCTGTGGCGTTTCTGCCTGTTGGGTATTGTGTGGCCATGGCAATTGAGTAGAACATCGCAGCATCTGTTGTGGCCGCTTGAGCACATCACACAAGTGTGGAATCGCAATCGTTGAACACAAACAAGTGTAACGACGTGTCAGTGCAGTAATCGGCGCCCCCCCAAAGGTCACAACAGAGGCGCTGGACGCTGCGGGCGCGGAGCAGGAACTTCCCCTGCCTCTCACTCGTTTGCTCCTTGTCCTTTGCTCTATTCTTCTCCCCGTCCCTCTTTCTCCGCATCCTCCTCCCCTTCCTGCTCCTCTCCGCCCTCTCCCCTCCCGCTCCCTCGTCCTCTCCTCCCCCCCATCTCTGCCCCTGCGCTCTCCCCTTGCCCCTCTCTCCCTCCCTCCCGCCCTCCCTCCCTCTCCTGGCCTGTTGGGCAGCCTCCCGCTCCCCTCGCGCCTCCTTCGCGGAGGGGAGCAGCCTGGATGCGGCCAAGCTCAGCTGAAGCTGGCAACAGCAGTGCACCAGGGAGTGCGGAAGCCCTTCATGATACGTGCAGGTTCCTCCTTCTCTCTCTCCGTCCTCCCCCCTCACCCTCTCGCTCGCTCCCTCTGCCTGGGATGCTCATTTGCCGATGCCGGCCGCCTCGCTGCATGCCGCACCACTTCTGGGGTCGGCGAGCCTTGGAGTGCCAGGAACACCAGGCATTCCGCCCTGGCGGGCCTCACAGAAGGAAGCATGTTAACAACCATCTGGCTCAGTGCCCCAAGTAGGTCAGTTTCATGTTGCATGTCTCGGATCTTCATGGCGCAAGATCTGCTAGCAGTTGGTACGGTTGCAGTGGCGCCATCCAGTCAACATTCTTTCCTGGTGTGCGATCGACGAAGGTTTTTTCCGGCAGTCGAGCCAGGGACAGAGAAATTTGAGTTCAGCGGGTACAATCAAACAAGACGTTGCGCAGCTCGCTGTCTCTTCCGAATAATGCTGCTGCTGGGTCGAGGAGGATGGCAGAGGAGTGGAAGGAGAGGGAGGAGGAGGAGGAGGAGGAGGAGGAGGAGGAGGAGGGAGGAGGAGGAGGAGGAGGAGGAGGAGGTGGTTGCAGAGGGCGGAGAAGTGGGCGGCAGCATGCTCAGGAGACGAATGAGGGGGGAACCAGAGTTGAGCAGGTGGAGGAAGATGGGGTGGTGGAGGTGTGCCGTGCTGCCTAATTCAACGAGCGCACCTTCGGTGGCGCTCCTGCCCGGCATTGTATACTGTGTGGCCATGGCGTGTGCACAGCACACCGCAGCAGCTGCTGTGGCCGCCTGAGGCCGTCACAGCAGTGTAGCCAGCGGCGCTCCCCCTCCTCCTCCTCCTCCTCCTCCTCCTCCTCCTCCTCCTCCTCCTCCTCCTCTCCTCCTCCTCCTCGTCCCCTCCTCCTCCTCCTCCTCCTCCTCCTCCTCCTCCTCCTCCTCCTCCTCCTCCTCCTCCTCCTCCTCTCCTCCCCCTCCTCCTGGACGCGTCGGTGCAGCCAGCGGCGCCCCCCCCCCCCCCGCAAGGCCACGACCGAGGCCCTCCAGGAGGACTCCTGGGGGCCGGACGAGCGCCTCTGGGCACCCGGCGAAGCGCCGGACGAGGCCCCGGCCGCGCGTGCGGGGGCCGCCGGGGACGCGCGGCCGGGAGTGACGCTTGGGATTCGAGGCGGGAACTTCCCAGACATGATCGCGCCATGAAAAAATCAGGACGGGCGGTTTTTCGCTATTTTCGGGCCCTGGGAGCCCTCGCCGGGCCTCGGGAGCGTCAAAAAACGACTCAGGAGGAACAGCCGGTCCTGGGGAACGGGTCTGGACTTCCAGGAACGCCGTCCTGAAAAAGTCAGGACGTCGCATGTCTGGGTTAGACATGACCACCGCCTGGAGGGTCAGTTTTGGGAGCCTCGGCAGGCGGTGGATCTGGACGTATTCGGGCCCCCGGGGGCCGAAGTCCGAAGTATACCAGGACGTCGGTTCCCGGGCGGTGGATGGGGATCAATCCCCGCCTCGCAGAGAAGGCTCAGGGCCACAGTCGAAAGACCAATCTGCTGTCACAGCGGGGCGTCAGGGGGTGTGTCTTGCTGCACTTCCGAGGATCCCCCCCAAGCCCCACCCCCTCGCGGCCGCCCCCCCAAAGGACCCCCCCCCCAAACCGCCAGGAGCCCCCAATGCCCCCCTCCCAACACCCCCCTCCCTGCTTCCCCTCCTACTCGGGTTGGGAGGCCGCCCGACTGCAAAGGAGGGGAGGAGGATCGTCAACATTGAGCAAACAGGGTACTGGAGCAAAGGGGCTCCAGAGTTCTGTCTCCTAGCTTCGGACCCCCAGGGCTTCTCGAGGGCCCCGAAGCAGCCGAAGAAGAGCTCGGGAGGAGGTGCTCGTCCTGGGGAAGGCGCAGGTCCTGGATCCGTTGTCACCATATGACCCCTTCCTCTCGTGCGAGAGGTCGGGAGGGCCGGGGATGAGGATCGGGAGGGTCGCCGGGGTCTTGGGCAGGACGCTCGAGATCGGAGATCAGCTGATCTCCGATCTCGAGCGCCTCAGCGATTGGGCAGGACGCTCGAGATCTCGATCTCGAGATCTCGAGGCCCTAGGGCCTGCAGAGAGAAAAATGTCCGGGAGAGGGGGAACGCCCTGGGGCCACTCCTATGAGGCAGGCGGGTGGGGGGGCGGCGCGGAGGTCTGCGAGCCTGGGTGGAGGGACGAAGGTGCGCAAAGTCCACCCGCGCAGGAAGCCGATTCGACAGAGACTGGTTTCGGCAACACCCCAACATACTTATACTATATGTGCGTCGCCCCCCCAGGGGCGACGCGCGCACCAAGAAATCTTATAGTATATGCGTCGTGGCGGGCGCTTTCTGGCCACACCGCTCGAGAAACGATATACTACAAGATGGGTATACTATATGTTCGGGTCGGACGCGCGCCTCCAAGGCGGACACATAGTATTAGTATGTCTCTGTGCATCCCATGGTTCATCAGAAGTTTCACTCCACAGGGTCCGGTTCAACAAACACCGATCCAACAGGCCCCGTTCGACAGGCCCAGCTCGACAGAGCCTTTCCGATCGACCAGGTTCTCTCGACTCATCCGGGCGGTGCACTGCGGCCGCAGTGCTTTTTTTATTGCGGGGTCTTGCGCCCGTCGAGGCGCTGGCCCCGTGCCGCTTCGACTGGACACGGCGCTCTGCCAAGAGCGGGGCCCTGTCCAACCCCGGAGGGAACATCGCGAAGCTGTCTGTCTCTGTAAGTATCGGAGGTGGATCGACCTCCTACCCTGACACGTCGATCAAGGACTTGGCCGTTTTCGGTTCGCGAGAGGGCGTCGCGGCCGTCATTTTTGCGGGTCCAGGTCCGTCGGTTTCGGTCCCAGGCCGTTTTCATTAAGAGGAGGTTTGCTAAAGGGAGGTTTGTCCACCGCCGAAAGTATGATCGGTGCTTCAAGTACGGGGTCCTGAGGGATGGGGTCCTACGGATAGGAAGGGGTCCAAGGGTAGACTTACACTGTTTGAGGCACCTCGTCCTTGGGACCCTATCCCTCGGGACCCCATCTTTGATCCACCGGCATGATGCTCATCTGGAGGCGTGTGTCGTTCAGGTTAGGGGCTGCGTGTGGGAAAGAACTCGAATTTCGGGGTCTTGGAATCGTAGAATGCAGTGCTCGAGCATCAACCGACCCAACCTCCCAAACATTAGATGCCCGCCCACCCAAAGAGATTCTATGGTGGGCGTGGCCTGCATCTTGGTGTGTAGATGCTGGTGCGTGCACGGGCTGTCTGCTGCATCTTGTTTGTGCATTGTCGTGTGTTCGCTGTGAGCTTGTTCCGCCGTGTACCCGTTACGTGAGCGATGCATGGATGGGTGTGCGTGCACGCGCGCGTGCCCGTGGTAGCCTGCGCGCGAATCTGCTTGTCTATCGGCGTGCTCCGCGGCGCATGGGGTGTTGGAGTACAGCTCGGTCGTGTGAGCGCGGTCCCGCTGGGCGGGATTCTGCCACTCGGCGAGCCTTCCGCGTCCCCCGATTGCGAGTTTCATTCCATCAGATACCCTTGCTGTGTTGCTGCGTATTTCTGCGCGCCTCTGCCCAGTTTCTGTCCATGCGCTTGGCGCCTCCACCCCGCCGCTTCCGCGGTGTCCCCCGGCTCCTTGTTGCGCGTCGCGCGATCCTGGAGCCCCCCCCCCCCCCCCCCTCCAGCCGCAGGCCGACGCATCGGCAAGCTGGCCGCAACCTCAGATGTTCTCCCTGGCCGCCTGGTCGTCCAACG